TGAACCTTTGAACATAAATCTTGGCATTGTTGTTTGCTCCTTTGATGTTTGCCGGGTTTCATAACCAGTGTCCTCTATTAACTATACCTACAATAACGGTTTGATTCTGTAGATCTATACTTAACAGACAACAGGAGACAATGATTAGGATCAGTCATACTCACTGATGGTAAGAGTGGAAATGGTTTACAATAAGGATATCGAGGTGTCAGTTAGTGATATCACAATAACATTATGTAAACCATTCAGAGTGTAGTGATGTTGTCATAAACTATAGTATGTTTGAAATTTTCTTCTTAGCTCCTTCCAGACTATTTGTATTTTTAATTATTTAAATTTGTCTCAGTTTTGTCATACACAGCAGGGCTTAGGGCCATCACCCATAGCACTTGTTATGGCTGAGCATACTTGATGGGTTCTTGTTGTTCTGGGTTAACTGGCCTGTAGTTGATACAATTTACTCATAAAGTAACAAGTTTGTTAAATAATTTGGGTGTTAAGATCAAGGCTACAGGTGAATCAAAGCTTACTGACAGCCCTGCATAGCAAGTCATCAACATTTCGTGAAAGAATGCTTGCCTGGTGAATCTAACTACCAGTTGATGACACTTGAAGTGGCTCAAGACTAAAACTTACGTGTCAACCTGCTTGATGTAGATCTTATGGAAAGATGCTGAGTGTACAGAATACACATCAATGACCTGAATAGAGACAGTAAGACAGCTAAATACAATCAAAATCCTATTTGAAAGCTATAGTGGATGGGAGTTCAGCTGATTAAGCTAGTTTTAATAGATGATTTTTATTAGAGATTTAAACTCAAAGAGCTTAATAAATCATACATTATTGATTAAGTACCACTCTGTCAATGAAAGCTCTAACTATCCTGACAATAATTTACTTTTCTCATCATTAACAACAAATGGTTTCCAAATGTAAACACCCACAGATAAGCCAAACCTAGTGTAAAAAGAAGAAGCTCAAATTTTTGAACAACAACAACAACAAAAAATATGAAAACAATACAACTGGACTACATGTATACGGAAGTTATTATTTAACAGTTGAAATACCTTTCTTGATAATATGTCTTGGATTCTGGCAAAAAACTCTTCAAAAGACATTGCATTGGCTGGCTCTGATTCTAATATGCCAGCTAATACAGGAGTCAAGAGGTCTTTGAGTCCCCTGAAAATAAAAATCACCCAGTTACAAGCAAATTAAATGTGAGCAAACACTGTGCTTCCAGTATAAATCAGCCGGCTAACTCACTGTGACA